ATTTTCAGGTCTGCAAAGCAAAATAAAAAAAGAATGAAGAAAAGCAAACAGAGCCTAAGGGGGTTATGAGACACTATAAAGAAAACTAATATATGTATTATGAGAGTCTCAGAAGAAGAAGAGAGAGAGAGAAGGTGAGAGTGATTATTTAAAGAAATATGGCAGAAAACTACAATTTGAGGAAAGACATGGATATACAATTACAAGGTCGGTGAACTCTATGTGTTGCATATAACACCAAAAGCACAGACAAAAATAATAATAATAATAATAAGTAAGTTGGACTTCATCGAAATAAAAAAATATTCTGTGCATCTAATATGAATGGATTGTGAGAAAATATTTCCACATCATGTATCTGATAAGAGATTGATATCCAGAAAATACGAAGAACTCCTACAACTCGACAACAAAAGAAAAGCAAGTGGACAAAAGTGGTTTTAAGGGTTAACAGGGAGGGAGGGATGAACAGACAGAGCACAGGGGCTTTTTAAAGCAATAAAATTATTCTCTCTGACATTATAAAGATAATACATGTCATTGTATTATTTCTCAAAACCCAGAGAATACACAGCACCAAGAGTGAACCCTAATGTAAATTATGGACTCTGGGTGACAATGTGACATGTAGCTTCATCGGTTGCAACAAACGTACCACTCTGGTTCTGGATGTTGATAGTGGGAGAGGTTGTGTATGTGGGAGGCAGTAGATATATGGAAACTCTCTGTATATTCTGCTCAATTTTGCTATGAACCTAGAAGTGCTTTAAAAAACAAAACCAATTTTTTTAAATGATCAAAAGACTTGAATAAATAGTTTTCCAAAGAAGATATACAAATGGACACTAAATCCCTATAAAGATGCTCAACATCACTACTTACTAGTAAAATAAAATCAAAACCACAATAAGATACCACGTAACACACTATAAAATGACTATTATCATGGAAACAGAAAAGCAATAAGTGTTGACCAGGATATGGGGGAACTGGAACACTTGTGTATTGCTGGTGGGAATGTAAATTACTGCAGTCACTTTTGAAAATGGTATGGTGATTTCTCAAAAAAATTAAACACACCACATGATCCAGCAATTCCATTTTTTAATGCATACACAAAACAAATGAAATCCAGACACACAAAAAAACAAATATTGTATGATTCCTCTCATATGAGGTACCTAGAGTAGTCCAATTCATAGAGACATGAGTAGAATGGTGATTGCAGGGGGAAGACGGAAGGGAGTGGGGAGTTAGGGTTTATTGTGTACGGAGTTTCAGTTGGGAAAGATTAACCAAGTTCTGGAGATAGATGGCAGTTATGATTGCAAAACAGTGTGGATGTCATAAATGCCACAGACCTGGTCACTTAAAATGTATACCATGGATATTTTACCACAATAAATACACACAGAAATAAACAGATTTACTAATTAATTAATGTCCTCTTTGGTCTTCTCTTCCACTAATAAACTCCCTAGATTTTAAAAAAAAAGATTAAGGATGGGTCTCAGAGATGTGGTCAATCAAACCGGAGGGCTTCTAGGAAGCTTCATGATGTGGTTTCACCACCTCTTCAGAAGCCATAGATAGAGATGGGATTATCTCAAAAAGATCTGGCTTTTATCTAGTAGAGAATTAACACTGAAATCCAAGGAAGGCCCACAAAGTTCTTGTGAAAATCATTTCATCAGATACAACATCAGCATGGACTAAAAGGGTCAAGAAGAATACAAAAAGGAAAGAAGACTACAAAACGTGCAAAACAAGCCTTTCATCAGGAAAATACCCAAATTATGATCATTTACGCACCTAACAGAGCCCCAAAGTACATGAGACAAAAATCTAACAGAATTAAAGGGAGGGATATACAACTGAACAACAAAAGTTGTAAACAACAATTCTCAAATACGATTAACAGATAAAATAATTTACCAGAATGTCAACAAGGAAACAGAAGATTTGAACAAAACTACAGACAAACTAGATATGACAGACATCTATAGAACACACCACCCATCACAACAGATGCACATTCTTTTCAAGGGTATGAGGAACCTTCTCCAGGATAGCCCATATTTTAGGCCATAAAACAAGGTTTAACACATTGAAGAGGATTAAAACCAGGCATAGTTTTAATCTGGTCATAATAGAATGATTTTGAACTAACAAAAAGAAATTTAGCAAACTCACAAATATGTGGAAATTTAAAAACATAATACTAAATAGCCAATGGACCAAAGAAGAAATCAAAAGGAAAATTTGAAAATAGTTTGAGGTAAATAAAAGTGAAGATACAACATACTGAAACTTATGGGATGCACACAAAGGCAGTGCTTAGAGAAAAATTTATACCTGTAAATGATGATCTTGTAAAAGAAGAAAGATCTCAAATCAATAATATAAACTTCTACCTTAAGACACTGAGAGAAAAAGAGCAAGCTAAATCTAAAACAAGCAGAAAGAATGAAATAAAAATTAGAGCTGAAATAAATGAATGGAATAGAAAAGGGAAAAACAAGAGAGAAAAATCATTGAAACTAAAAACTGATTCTGTGAAAAGATTAACAAAGTTGGTGGCATTTAAGTTAGATTAATCAAAAAAAAGAAAGAAGACACAAATTATTAGAATAAGAAATTAAGACGGGAATGTTACTACCAACCTATGTAAACAAAAGAAGTTGTAAATCAGTGCTACAAACAACTGTATGCCAATCAACTCACATGAAGTGAACAAACTCCTAGAAAGACACAAAACACCAAAACTGAATCAAGAAGAAATAGACAATCTGAATAGGCCTGTAACAAGTAAAGAAATTGAATTATTCATCAAAATAAATACCCACAGAAAATTCAGGCCCACATGGCTTCACTAGTGAATTCTCCACAAACCCTTCCAAAAACATAGAAAAGGAGGGAATACTTACCAATTCAGTCTATAAAGTATCACCGTGACAGCAATACCAGACAAAGACATGAGAAAAGTACAGACCAACACTTGTTATAAATAGAAACTCAAAAATCCTCAGCAAGATACTTGCAAATGAAATCCAGCAATGAGAAATGGATTATGTACCAAGACCCAGGGTTGCTCATCGCAGTCGGCCAGTGCAACGCTGTTGTAACATCCAAAACTCACTGAGTGAAATATATCATATCAATCAATAAAAGACAAAAAACACATGACTGTCTCAATAGATGCAGAAAAGTCATTGGGCAAACTTCAACCTCCTTTCATGATAAAAATGCTCATTAAACAGGGAATAGATACATACTTCCTCAACTTCATAAAGGAATCTTGTAAAAACCCACAGTTAATATCACACTTCATATAATTCCATAATAAAAAAAACTCTTGTAACTCCAGGATATAATTTGTCCCATTTTTGAAATGGGCAAAGATCTGATAGACATTTCTGCAAGGAAGTCACACAAATGACCAGTAAGCTCATGAAAAGGTGCTCCACACCATCAGCCATTAGGGAAACGCAAGTCTAAACTAGAATTAGAGAGCACTCTGTGGCCGCTAGGTCATCATCAGACCACAGACAATGACAAGCGTTGGTGAGCACGTAGACAAATCGGGTCTCTCAGACACTGCTGGTGGGAACGTAAAGTGGTGCGAGCACTTTGGCTACCGGTTTAGAAGTCCTCATACGGTTAAAAGGTGATCCAGCAATTCCACTCCTAGACACAGACCCAAGAGATAACATGTCCACTAGCAACTTGTACACAATGTTCAAGTCATTAGCCAGAAACTGGGAACAGGCCCAATGACCATCGCGTGATGAACGGACAAACAAAAACGTGGCCAATGCACACAATGGGATGCTATTCGGCTAAAGAAACGAGGTTCTGACACAGGCTCGACATGGACGACCCTGGGACACATCGCACTGAGTGCAGGATGCCAGTCACAAAGGAGCGCACGGTGTGGGGCTCCACTTACAGGGCAGTCCAGAGCAGGCCCATCCACAGAGGGCTGGGTGACGAGGGTGGTGGGCGGTGACGGCTAAGTGCTACAGGGCTTCTTTGGGGTAACGAAAATGTCCTAAAATTCCCAGTGGTTATGGATATCCGACTCCATAAAGCCAATGAATTGCACATCGTAAAGGGATGAATTGTATGAGATGTGAATTGTATCTCAGGACAGCTGTTAAACTAAGAGATGCTGAATGCAATTAATCATCAGGGGAATCAAACTGAAACTACAATGAGAAACCCTAACACACCAATTACAATGTCTAAAATCCGTGTTTTTTAAACCTGAAAATACCAACAGCTGGAAAGGAAGGGCAGCGACTGGGACACCATGAGTTTCAGGCAATAACGCGGTTTGACAAACATCTGATAGAAATATCATAACATACTTAACTTCAGCTGTTCATTCAGGGGCCTGAGGGACCAAGTCTTCCAGGGGAGAGTTCCGAGGTTGGGTCCCCGACACCTGTGGGGCCCACTGTGCTCCGCAGTGAGTTACTGCCAGTAAATATGCAGGAACTAGGCTGACTGGGCTGCAGTCACGCACCTAGAAACCGAATCTGGGTCCTGCTCAACGGCTGATGCCTGAGCACAGACGTCTGCACATGAAGCCCAGGCCCACATTCCAGGGGCGCGTGGACAGAGGCTCCGTGAAGACAAGGCTCACGTGGCCACTTCTCCACGTAAGTCTGGTCCCAGCGAAGCGCCTGCACGTGAGGCCCGCCATGAACGTGGGCTGGGCTGAGCTGTCTGTGACGCAGGTAACACAGACGCACAGCTGTCTCCATCACTCTATTGTATATACTAAGAAACTGCTTACGTAATAAGCTCTGGAGAAAACATAAAGCCACACCATAAACACACAGCCGTTTTGTTCAAGGCAGGATAAAGCGAAGCTTGCTGCCCTGAACAGTCACACCCCGTCCCTGCTTCAGTCCATGCTCGACCTTAAAACTAGGGCCCCGTGACGGGCAGTGGCATGTCCCTCCCGCACAAATGCAGGAATGCCCTGTACTCACAGTAGACAGGGTCACACTCTGGAGGCCGGTGGCTCTGCGGGTCCAGCTCGGGCCCCGGGGCGAGGTCAGATTGCTTTGGGGAATCTTGCAAAAGCATCAGAAACACCTTTTAGAAAATGAAAGAAGAGTTTCAAATTATTTTATGTTCCTTTCCACATTGCACTTTTTCTTCTGCCTTAATTACCACCTAGGTTATTACAACAATAGTCACCAAACACATCACGTTTCATGGAGTCATTCATTTAATGGGCATAACTCTAAGGCCACCCAGCTCTCAGCAAGCTGGGTGCAAGGCTGCTCGTAGGCTACACGGATGAGTGAACCTGACCGTGACCCTCAGGCACGTGCGTTCTGGGAGGCTGGTCAGACCCACAGCAGGCGGAGGCAGACAAAGCGACGTCCCTGACAGTGAGTCCTGTCCCACTTGAGCCGGCGGCTCACGCGTGCAGAGGTGAGCTGGGCAGTCAAGCGGTTCTGCTCACAGCTTACTTCTCGGGGGGAAGGTGTCGTGTGTGAGCGTTCCACTGAACACGTCTCCTCCATGGGTGACAGTGTGCCTCGTCCCCAAAGTATTCACTTAAGAAAATGGCCTGAAGCCGCTGCTTGGTGAGTGCTCGAAGCAGAAGTCCAACCTCAGTTTGTTCAAACCCAGGGCTCAGCCCCAGATCCGTGACAGTGAGGAGAGGAAGCCGCAGAAGTCAAGGCGGGGACACGTGCTCAGTGGGTGGGGTGCTCAGCCCTTGAGCCGCAGCTGGAGGTTGGGCAGGGGCCTCTGAAAGGTGGGAGGGCATCCCTAACGCACCTTTAGGCAGAGGCGAGAGGAGACGTGATTTGGCTTCTGCGAAAAGCCAGCAATCACCCTGGGACAGGGTGGAGGCCGCCCTCGGGGCCGTGGTCCCGGCCAGTCCTGCTGGCTGCCTGCAGACCAGGGGTCATGACAGCAGCTGATGACGGCTGAGACATGCTCCGCACAGGCTCGGAAGCATGCAGGACTTGGATTAGAAACCCAGTTAGCCAGGCTGACGTAGTGGCCTGTGCCACACACCAGGCCAGGCTCCGTGCGGGGACACTGTCCTTTGCCAGTAGCATCACACAGGTGCTTCGTCCCTCCGTCCCCTGCCCACAGCCCAGAGACTAGTGTCTGGCCCTGGCCCTGCTCCAGTCCATCCCCTGCTGGCCGCTGTCACTGCCATCCCACGGGGACCTCACACTCAATGCACCCACTGAGCACCCCAAGTCAGCCACCTCCTGGACTGCTGACTTCTGGAAGTGGCAGTGCGTGCTGACTGAAGCAACTGAAGGTTATAAACACGAAGGACGGCTCTGTCTCGGCATCCTGAGGCGCCTCCAGCCCCAGGGGAAGGCAGGCAGGGGCGCCGGGCAGGGGGGCCACAGCAAGCCTGCAGGAGGCGAGAGGCGCAGCCGGGGCGGGTGGCTCCTTCGTCTGGGACGGGGTCCACCCTCCTCCGCAGGGCAGAACTGGAGCAGAATTGTTACAAGCACTGAATGCATTTATACACAAAGTGGAGAGAAGTGTCTGCCGGCTGCAGGGTGGGATCCCAGGCAGGGCTGGGAGGTGGGATGGCCGCAGGTGCCCCGTCAGCCCTGTGACACCAGCACTGTGTCCCACTGGAGAGGAGGGCACGAGCCTAGCGTGACAAGCACTCAGCTGGTGCATCGACGAAGAATGAAACTAGAAATGATGGTGACAGTGCAGGTCCAGAGGCAACCCCTGGGCAGCGTTTCCTTCGTATCTTAATCTCAAAATGATTACCATTATAAGTTTTGTTAACATCCATCACCTCACAGTTATAAACTTTTTCTTGTGATGAGAACTCTTAAAACCTACTCTCTTGGTGACTTTCAATGATGCAACAACGTTTGCTAACTGTAGTCACCGCGCTGCCCCCTACAGCCCAGGACTGACTCATCTGATAACTGGAAGTTTGTATCTCTTGACGCCTTCACCCTTTTCTCCCGTCTCCCCAACCCCACCTTGGTAACCACCAACCTTATTTCTTTCTGAGTTTGTTTGTTTGTTTGTTTGTTTTTAGATTCCACATATAAGTGAGATCATATAGTATTTGTCTTTCTGTCTGACTTACGTAGCGTCATGCCCTCTAGGTCCATCCATGTGCTTGCAAAAAGCAGTATTTCCTTCTTTTTTATAACTGAATATTCCTCTCTCTCTCTCTCTCTCTCTCTCTCTCTCTCTCTCTCTCTCTCTCTCTCTCTC